CCCGCCCGGCCCTGGGCGGGAGAAGTTATTTGATCATTTTCCCCTCACAAAAAAAAGCTGAGGAGACCATATTAATTATTGGAGGTCTTTGTTACAAATATTATGATGATGGTGATTGTAAGACATACATAAAATTGTAATCTTATAATATTACTCCGAAATTACCAAGTTAGAGATGAAGATAAAAAAACACTTATGGTAGACCTGACACAATTGTTGGCCTATCATTGAATCATGGTAATCTTCCGGGTCTGTAGAGCAGAAGGATCGTTTCAATTTTGGAACCGTAAAAATAAAATGTCTTAAATAAATGCATCGGCAACATTTTGGTTATCCGAATGAATCGGTTCATCGGCATTTCCTATAGTGTATGTCAGGGTTTACAAGATAAACCTTACTTTATTTTTTGTACAAGTCATTACCATTGTTGCCATTGACATTTGACACGGAAGGTTTACGATGCTGACTGTGTTTCCGCATCTTGATTGAATATTGAATAGTGGTTCTGAGATTGTCTACTTATACGAATCCCTGAAAGTAAATTAACTAGTTTTTGGTAAGATATTTTTTTTATGGTATAGTTCGGCAAACGAGACGATTACCTGATGATAAGCAATCAGCGCCGCACATGGACGCCCGCTACACCAAAGGAGTTACTAGTGAGTTGTTGGCCTTTTAGGGATAAGGGTTTCGGATATTCAAGGATTGGAAAGGGAGGGTGTGGGGATGACAAAACATAACGCTCTGGTTGTTTCGCGTCGTCGGTTTTCTGAGGCCGTGGCATCACTCCGGTTGAGCCGACCCATTCGCGCCGAAGCTTGGCTCTCCCACACTTATTAATAACGATATTGTAGTAAATGTTTAGTTTCTTTTATGTGCGCCATACATACTGAGAAATTCCCAGCATGGCTTATGGTTAGGCTTTGGTATACAGTAGCTTGGTAGGTGAACCATAATTCATGGCTATGAAGATAAATCACCCCAAACATAATATTATTATATTACTTAGTGCTCACAGCTTAGTGAGATATATAGCTTTTAATTATGTTTGTACTGATTTATGATGGTTATCGGTAGAAACTGAAATAATAAAACTACCAGATTTACTCATTTTTACAGTAAAAGCAGTTGAGTGTGACTTCTTCTTGCATTTGACATCTGCATAAATGGAAAATAGGAATGACGATGAATTTTTATAGCGAACATCATTTAGATAATTTTAATATGGAATCAGATACGATATAATTATAATCAGAGATGATACATAGATTTGAAATATCTTGTTATTTTATAGTTTAATTGCTTACAAATTGTTTTGTAAAAAGAAACATGTTTTGAAACTAAATCAGACTGACGGGACTAACAAGACTTTAAATTTTCATACATAATGCAAAAATAAGTAAAAAAATTGGTGTTAAATATGTAAATTTAAGCTAAGACTAGACTAAGTTAAGACTAGACTAATACTGTGGGACGAAATTTGTGACAAATAATTTATAAAAGGTCTAATTATACAAAAAATCTAATAGCTTTCTAATTTTTTTTAGACTGATTGCCGTAATGATTGATCCATATTGACTAATTGGTTGTTTAACTAAGGGATGTTTGCAAAGTTAGCTCAAGACTTTCTGTAGGAGAAGTAACTTCTCAGTAGTTCGAAAGTTTCTTAGTTGAATGTTAAGATGGATGGTAGAAGGTTGGAATTGTTACGTCAAAAATAGCGGGCTATGAAGAAAAGCTAATATTTTCCGGTACTTATGTTTAATACTTATTCTTGTCGCCTCTGTTTATGTTAGGCATCAATTGAGTTTTAATTAGGATTTTTGTATAGACCCCACTGACATACGGGAACCATGGTGAAATTTAGACTTTTAATTTCAAAGTTTAAAATCGTCAATCTGCCTTGAGCGTATTGTTCTCAATGTAAGAAGAGCCCTTTGATCAGCAGTGTGCACTAATAGGTTGATGATGATGATTGATTTAAAGATTCAATGATAAAGATTGTAATCATCATTAACATTAATTTGTCTTTCGATAATTTAGAACACGTGTCTTGTCACAGGCAATTTATTATCTAAGTATTATTATATTTTATTACCCATTCTAATCAAATTGTAATTCTGTTTTAAGCATAAGATATTTTTTAATCCTTCCTTTTCAGAGTTCCGTTGCCAAATGGCAAAAACAGACTACCATTACGATTCCATAAGGGTCCCGTCCCTTATGGATTTGTGTCACAGCCACTTTTTTATAAACTATAAGAACATTACTGTTGAAAACTTGATAAGCAGACGAATTCTGTGAACTGCATTAAGAATTTCACACGAACATCGAATAGAAGCATAATATTTTTTTCTAAATTGCAAGTGACAAAATGTCCCTCCTAAAAATTATGATGTTAACATATTACTTACCCTGCAAACTTCCACCAGAGATCCAGTTTTCATTTTGTAGTTTGTTGTACGGTAAACAACAAACCGCAATTAACGCATTCAGTCAAATGTATTGAAAAACATTCAATTATGAAAACATCGATGTAAGTTACAATGAACTTGAAGAACTTTTATATACGTTCCCTACTATGGAGCCCTATAAAGAACAGTTCGTCTCTAACTATACTGTACTTTATAAACCATTATTTCTAGTCAATAGAGATAACAACAATTACCATAGATATACTATGTTAACAACTTGTTTAAATACCATTTTTGAACACTTACCTCTAAATATAAATAAATATCTAACAATATACAAAATCCGAATTCTATTTTACTACTAGGAATACTTACTTAAACAATAACTAAGTATTAGTTTGTCTACTAGAACCTTCTGAAACTGTATACTCGCAATGAGATTCTCTTTTTGTCCCAAAACGGTCGATAATATGACACCCAAAGGTAACATGTAGGGTTTACCTGCTCCAAGTAAATGTGGTCATTTGCAAGAGGACACCTGATGTAAGGACCTTGATGTACCTCAGTATGAGACATATTTCGTTGCTAATGAGTACTTACAGTCTTACATACTAATGGTAACATTATAATCACAACGTTATTGTTTTTATGTGATACCTTTTACGGATTACCTAATGCTAAGCAATCGGCCACGCCCATAGACACCCATAACTTTAGAGGAAATTTTTTTGACGACGACGACACGTTTAAGTGTGGGAGAGCCATGCTTCGGCACGAATGGGACGGCTCGACCGGAGTGATACCCGGCCTCACAGAAAACCGGCGTGAAACAACTACAGCGTTGTGTTTCGCCGTGTGAGTGAGGTTAGTGGAGGCCCAATCCTTCCCCTACCTCAATCCCTCTTTAATCCTTAAATCTCCAAATTCCTAATCCCTAAACGGTCGGCAACGTACTCGTAAATCCTCTGTTGCGGGCGTCTGGTCGGGTGGGGCTTACTATCAGGTAATCCGTCTGCTCGTTGTCGACCTAAAAGAAAACGAGGGTAAGTCATCATAATATGACTTCTGCCACTAAAGGTAAGGCGAGCAGGAGTGTCAGACTATTACTAACTAAAAATCACACCGTTCCTTCTCCTGCTCCAGCCCGAGGCTGCGATACCTTATTGCGCTTCCCCCGCATCCCCATAGAACATCACAACTCATCTAGAGTTACGAGTGCGTTGCCTTTTAGAGATTTGAAGTGTTTCGTAGATTTGCGGATTGGGGGAGAGTAAGGATTCGGTAAAGCCGACCCATTCATGCCGAAGCACGACTGTATCATGCTTATAAATTATTATGAGTTACTGTCTCTAAGTATCAGTGGACATTTTGGAGATAGGTCAACTATTTTAAGTAGGTATTTTATATTTATGTATATTTACTTTTACCCCAATTAGGATACTTCGCCATATGTATAGGAATGATGACCCAAAATAAGGATTATGGGTATTATGAATATTATTAGAACTAGGCTAGGCTGCGAAACCTAAAGACAGAATAAACTTTAAGCACATATTTCCTAATTGGGAAGTTTCCTAGGAAAAAATATAATTATTTAGATTTTTCAATATATCGACATGTTGAAATAAAATATTTTCATTCGTTTTTTGACAATATAAAAAAAATAGTTGCTATTTTTAACGAATAATAATAAGTAAGCTATTACTTTATGATGTCATGTCATGTTGCGATTCTTACAGAAACATTCAAAGTATAGTTTTTGACATTTCTACAGAAATATAAGTTGGTAACTGGATTGCCAGTACAGGAACGAGATCATTTAGAAACGTCTACCTAAAAGGGTTACATCAATGTATCAACGTAAAAACTTTGAAATTATTCCGGAAAGAGACTCATAAGAGTTGACTGTTATACCACAATTGTTTAGTAATTCCATTAAAACTATTCATATTTATCTCTATAAATTCCGCCATGAAATAGCGCCTGCCAGGAAGCTCACGAAATATTAATGAGGTGCGTTTTACATCGGACCAAACGATCAGGCGCTTGCGTTTAGATTAATTGGCCTCTGTGGTCTTGACCTTGTCGTCTTAATTAGTGAGATATCATCGAATACTATTTATTATTCAACTTAAATTAAGCCGTACCTTTAAGACATTCATAAATAATAGAGTGACGTTTTCTTGTTTATTTAGGATTACCTACCCCAACTACTTAGGCATACTTAGGCCATAATTATTTATTTGATTTTTGTGATTCGTTTTAATTAATTTATTTATCGGAAAGAGTGTATATACCTATATTAACCACTTATTAAAGATATTATAATTATTATAGCACCAAAAATAATAGTCGACGTTCGTATCGCCATTACTTTATAAATGTGTTTTTACTTAAGCGTACCATGTTGTCACTGCTTACTTATTTCTTTTTATTTTCAGCTGCCATTTAAACAGTTATTCAGTAAAACCTTTCAGCCAGGCTTTAAGCAATACGATATGGAGCGCTGAAAGCCATCCTGTGTGCACTCGTCAGTTTCAGAGACGTGAAAGCTCGGACGTTTTCAGTTATTCGCGAGTCGTAGGCGGGTAAACATGTACGCCGATCCCGCTGCGTTCCACAAAAGATCGCTCGGAACTTCCTAACTTTGTGACAACTTGTGATTGTGAAAAATACATTCTGACTTGTTTATAAGTTTTTAAAAACTACTGGTATTTATTATCTTTCTCGTAAATAAACTGTGTGGGAAGGATACACGATAAAACTAGCGTAAGTAAGGATATAAATCATTCGATTTATCGATGAAGGGGATCATTTCTAACACAAGAACTCACATTCATCAAAAAATCTCCTTGTTGCGATAGTCGTGCTTTGAAAAGTAGTAATTTTTATTTTGTGCAAAAAAGAGTATTAACGATAAACATCAAGCCGCTCGCCCATTTTCATGGCATTACCTAGACGCCGGAAAATCGGGTTCTACTTATGTAACTCTACGGCATTGCAGGTTGTTTTTATTTTTGAACCATTTTTTCAACACTTCATTAATTAACAGTAGTCTATGTCATACATGTTTGAATTAATTTTATTAATATAAATAATTTTTTAGAAAATCTTTATTACTTTTACACGATTCGCCCGATGAAATGTTTACAAACAATATTTATTTTTATTATTTTTAAATTATTCTAGATAGTACTTGCTTACTTAAATCAAACCATTCATACTAAAACAGTAGGTAGTCCTTTAATAGTCTAGGTAATGACAACAAATGCTCATTTTCTTCTATTCCATAAAAGTTTTTGTGTAACTAATCCTTCCTAATCAAGTCTCTATGTAAATTACAGGGAAACTCTGCAGTATAGTCTATCGCTCTTACAATCCTCACAGACACACGACGGTTCAGTGGTTCTCTTCATTTGTAGCTACATTAACTCCACTAACTGATCTATTTATCGCCGTCCATTTTGGTAAAAGATAAAGGTTAAAACCCACCTGAGAGCGTACCGAAGTCGTTTGTAAAAGTCACCTAAATATAGATGGTAACGAAACTGGAATACATTTTGTCATACGGAATCGATGGTTGAAACCATTTAAGCTATCATTGGTCAAATTAGAAAAAGTATGGTATTCCGTTATGAATTTAAACGATGTAGGTATTCGTAATTCAATATTTTATTACTTATATTATTTTCGCAAGAATGAGCCGAAAGCATTCTTTTTTTGAAACGCTCTTGGCATCTACCTGGATTCCTTAGTCAGACTTCCCAAATTACACGAAATATGTACTTTGGTTCAGGTGTTCTAAAGCAGGAAATAGTATTATTTAGAGGTTACTTTTTTTCGAACGATTGTATTAATATAAAAGTTTTCTTGCCATTAAATACCATATTAACTTATGACCACAGACGTTATAATACCGTCACGTAATTCCATGATCCTGAGAATTTGTCAACATAATTCAATTTGCAGGCACGTCCACTAACATTTATTCTGGGATTAAGAAATATTTATTCCGTCACCATTCCAGATCCGCGGAGAAAATAGGACGGAATTTTCTTTGCTGCAAAAAGTAAACTGCAAACAATAAGGTAGGCGCTTTTGTTTGCATTTACAGAATACTTTTCATAGTTTTCGTTATGTGCAAATCAGTTTCATATGTAATATAGAAGAGCCAATTAATCAAAACTGATTTTCTTACTAAAAGGTTATTAATATTAAAAAAAAAACAGGAAAGCAAAATCATATACATGAGACTTTTACAAACTTTTATGTAGTTTAGTAATTCATGACTACTCTGCTATTATTCTAGAAAACACGTCAAACGTATTTGTCCATGACGGTGTTTCACTTTGCATATAGCGTAGGTTGAAGGTACTTTGGATGGATACATCATAAATATTCAACCAGTGAAGCTGTTGTATCTTGCTTAAAGCGTCTTCATCGTAAATAGAGCGAATCTACAAGTGAATACAAAAGTTTTAGAAAAGTGTTTTAGACATCGATCTAGGAGCTTCTCAGTTCTTGTTACGAATATTTCCTTACACAGAGATATTATAAAGTCTGTTAAATGTGTTTTAGTCAGTTATTAGTTAAGTTAGCTGCATTCTATAACAAACCTATTTTTATGAGCCTTTCGGCATTCCCCCTTTTGAGGTGAGAGTCAGCAATTCCAAGGACCTATTTGCATTCGTATCACCAATTTTGTTGAGTAGATAGTCTGTCTTACAGTATACACTAAACATCATGGAAATTCAGATTTTGCTTTCATTGGAAGATCACGTTCGTTCCCAACTTGGTCAGTAGGTAATTGGCAAAACGCCAAACAGGTCCTTTAGTATGTACGACTTCTTGAAAAATCAATACCTTAGGATAACATGACTTTGAAAACACTACAAATAAAGAGATTCCATCGGTTGTAACAAAAAAAAAACCACAGAATTTCTAAGTCTCACCGGTTCAATATTTGAGTAGGGTCTGACAGTAAAACTTTTTTGTCGATGACTTTTTTAAACCTAATACTGCAGTGTTACAAAATATGTACTTGTGAACCAAAATGAGGTTTTATTACATATGTATGTACATACAATTTACAGAGCATTTTAAATAGATAATTACTGCTGATTTATTTCCTTTATTTGATGTTGTTAGCTCAAGCTTACCTTTGTCAGCTGGGTGTTGCAGATGTAAGCATAATAAATTATGTACTGCGGCCCCGGCCTGGAACACAAGAAGGAACGAGATAGTTTTTAATTAGTAAGAGTTTGCCATCATCTTTCGCTCTTTATTTAGTCCCACCTCAATTAACATGGTTTAACATTTTGTCTCTTAACAAAATAACACATTAGGTCACAATTGTAGGTAATCTTTTTTTTTACTTTGCTGAAATCCATGACATTAAATGTTAGGAAAAATATTTAGTTTTAATTCCGCGACATAAGTCCAGGCTTGTTGCAGGATGCAATCCCACTCCTATGCAATCATGCATATGCACATGCAGCAAGGGTAACATGCATATGCACACATTGTAGGTCTTCACTTATCATTAACAAAATCTACAACATTGTTTATTTCAACAGTTCTACATATAAAATGGACGATAAAACAAAGTGATTGAACTCAAAACTCGAGCAAGCAATGGTGTTGTCATCAGTGAAAGTGAAAAGGACCTGACATTATGTGCAAAAACGTGAAGAGTGTGTCATGGGAGACGGAGACCCTTATGGGTACACCTCCCAAGTCCAAATGGGGCAGCTTCGAGCCCAGAGCGGCACTGTCCCACGTGGGACTCTTCGTGGCTCTCATGTTGTACACAGGCGGCGGAGGGTTGGTAAGTTCTTTCACTTTTATTCTCATACCAAAAAAAAATATTTCATGTGGCTTCAGACCATTACTTGCTCTAGTAATGTGAAATGCTACAAATATTGCTGGTGAGAGTACCGATTGTCAATGTGGTAGCCCGCAGGTTAAGGCTTCTTCTATAAGTGCAGGTTCGAAATCTGGCAAGTACCAAAGTGACTTTTCCGAGTCATATGTATTTGTACTATCTATGATTATTTTGACACCACTAACATTTGGTGAAGGATACATCTTAAGGACACACACACTTGAGTTTATAAAATTGAAATTCACAATCCGCCTTGAGCAATCGCGATGATAAATGCTCAAACATTCTTCAAGTGAGAAGAGGCTCAGCAGGTTGCTCAGCAGTGGGAACTTAAAGGTTGATGATGTGATCATCATCACATGACATATGTGAGAGATGATTATTTTCTAAGACATTATTTTATCTTAATACAATAAATACATAAGCATACAAAAATGCTACTTACCATTTCAAAATAAATAATTAATATAAAGGTTTATATTCAAAAACTCAATCTTTGATAAAATAAAAACACACAAGCACAATTATAAATTATATATTTATCAACCAAATAAATAATGTATTTTTTTCTTGAAAACAAAAACACTAATAGCTTATCACGTTAACCGCCGCGTAGGTCACCGGTGACCGAAGGCAGCGGTGGATTTGCCTTTGATTGTTTTAGCTGGCATTCAAAGGCTAATATGTACTTAAAATAAATTATGTCCTTACTGTTTTAAAGTTACGTATAGCACAAACTTTCTATGCAATAAAACTTTAAAAATCCATAAACTCATCCTCATAAAGGCATACAGGACTTTGTTTCAGAATTTCTTCTTCAAATGGTTCGAAGTTTGTCGTATCACCGGGAGATTTCACTTTTGGAATAAACGGTGGATGTATTCTACTATTTAAGAGGTTATCCCACTCAATGTCTCTGAACCATTTGTGATTCTTAAAATCCAAAACACCATCTTTAAGAACACCGTAACGTCTTGTTACATCAACTTGAAGAATGTGTGCGATCAGATCCTTCAGTTCACTTGTAAAGTGATTCGGACATTTATATTTTCCAGCTACAATTTTCTCGTATATTCTCATAGGATCTGAAGCAAAGAACGGTGGATGTCCAGCACTCATTTCAAACAAAAGAATGCCAAGTGACCACCAGTCCGCTGACATTCCATAACCCTTACTAAGAATAATCTCAGGTGCCAGGTATTCTGGAGTACCACAGAGTGTCCATGTTCGACCACGTATCAATTTGCAAAATCCGAAATCGGTAATTTTAATGTATCCTGTTCTGTCAATCATAATGTTTTCTGGTTTCAAATCACGATAGACCAGTTCACATGAATGTAAATACTCTAAAGCAAGAACTACTTGAGCACCATAAAACTTAGATGACGTTTCTTCAAATTTCCCCATTTTGCGTAGGTGAGTAAACATTTCCCCACCGGATATGAATGGTAAAACAAAGTAAACATACACATTGTCCTTAAAATAATATTTCATGTAAACAACAAACGGAAAGTTAAGTCCACACAAAATTTTCTTCTCATAAAAAGTATGCTCAATTTGTTTTAATTTTACGATTTTTTCTTTTTCTAATGCTTTCATCGCGTAGTATTTTCCAGTAGTCAAGTGCTTAACGAGATACACTACTCCAAAAGCTCCCGTGCCAAGGACTCGAAATATTTCAAAGTCGCTCAACTTCGCATTGCTTTCAGATGCTTCATTCCATGAATCTATAAAGTCTTGATGAAGTTTGCGTAGATAAAGTGAATACTGTTCTTGTTTAGCTCTTGGGTACCCACCCTGATAATGGTTCAACGAGAAAGTAGTTTTCCCGTCCTGGGCCATATCGTCTTCGCTTTCCTCTAAGCCGAACAGTTTGAATAAGTTATTGAAAAAATAACAAATAGTAAATAGTATATAGCTATTTAAAACTAGGCACGTAAAAGGCCTATTAAAAATATCTATTATAATTTCAATGACCCGGTATAACAAATGAAGAGTTAGGTTTTTCTGTCAAATATTTTAGTCGAATGACATAACGACGACACGAGGGAGTTAAGCAAAGAGTATAATAAGTGTGTATAACAAATACCTATGAAATGAGTTCTTCATTAGTTCAAATACTGGATACAATAATATAAGTTTCGAAAACGCAATGATTTAAAATTATTAGTCTAATTGTTACCAACTTATTTAAAAGATGTACAAGATGTCGTAGAGTATGTTAAACCTTTGGGCTTTTACCGTATCAAAAATGACTAGAATCTACGGCTGAAACAAGTAAAATTAGTAAGTTATTGAGCCTGGAAGTTAATATTCAAAAATACGGAGTTAATGCCTTGCTTGACAATACAAACATTCAAGGAATTAGAATTCATATATATGTATAATGTTTGTATCAAAACTTTTTGTCGGAGATATATTTCGCTAAAAGAAAAAAGTTTTTAATCGTTTATCAATTTATTTAGTCACTCGATAGGTTATCTGTTAACGTCACACAACGTCATACGTTGTGGTTACGCGTAGTGGTTACGGTATTGTATTTTACCACAATTATACGTATGTTTACAAATATTTTATTTTCGAGGTGATTTAGTTTTATAGACAATTTTTTAAATGGAATATTTAATTTTGTGTAACGAGGTATGCCTAAATATTTTCCACAAGAGCAGGAAGAACATATACGGTATTTAGATGTGCTTAAAGAAGAATTTCAGAAAAGATTCTGTGAGCCTCCTGGAGAGACCAAGACACCTGACGACTACGATAGGATTAAAGCCATTGGTAATGGAGCATATGGTGAAGTATTCCTAGTAAGAGACAAATGTTCGTTCAACTACCACGCCATGAAAGTTGTTGAAAAAGGGGTCGTGGTGGAGAGAAAGCATGTAAAACACTTGATCCTTGAGAAAGAAATTCTTCGCTGTGTGAAGTTTCCCTTCATTGTAAGCTTAGAATATGCTTTTAAAGATAACATGTATTTATATTTTATCTTGCCCTTTGTTTCTGGTGGAGAAATGTTCACGTATTTAAATAAATATGGAAGCTTTTCCGAAAACTTAGCAATATTTTATACAGCACAATTAGTTTTGGCACTAGAATATCTACATCACTGTCAAATAATTCACAGGGATATAAAACCAGAAAATATATTAATTGACACAACTGGATACATTAAACTATGCGATTTTGGATTTTGTAAAATAATAAAGAAAAAAACTTGGACACTTTGTGGTACTCCTGAATATTTAGCACCAGAGATCATTATGTCCAGAGGGTATAATTTTGCAGTAGATTGGTGGGCAGTTGGTGTTTTGATTTATGAAATGACCGTCGGAAATCCGCCATTTTTTGCATCTGATCCCAGCAAGCTTTATGAGAAGGTATTGAATTGTTTTTATAAGTGTCCAAGAACATTGAGCCAAGAATGCAGAAGTATCGTTAAAGGCTTTCTTCAAGTGGATCCAACAAGACGTTTGGGAACTCTAAAAGAAGGGGCTTTTGGTGTTAAAATACACCCATGGTTTAAAGACATAGACTGGCCCGATTTATTTAGTCAGAGACTAACTCCACCCTTCGTTCCAGACAAACAAGCTCCTGGTGAGACTTCTAACTTTCCTGATATAGTTCAAACCAAGCTTAAAAAATGCGACACGTGTCTTTTTGAAGAGGAATTCAAAGACTTTTGAAGATTGTATTAAGATAAATCACTATAGATATGTAGTCTTAACCAGACTTAACGTTCTTAACAGTTTAATAAATCATAGGTATTTGCAATAAGCAAACAGTAAATGTAGATCATTCAGAGATATTATGTAAACCTACACTTTCATAGAATACGATTATTCATTATAACTATGTTTTTTATTTTCATATAAAATATACATATTGCTATAATAAAAAGATTTGTTTTGTTCCGTTCGTCGTTGTGGATGAGTAAAAAATCTACTAATTATGTAGTATGAGTACCACGACGCACAAGCAAAAGCGGCACAAGAGGACCCCGTGGTCGTCCAAAAACTTTGGTTGGATAATTATACATTAAAGGCGATTGTGAAAGTTGATAAAATTCCATTTACGATAAATGAATGATTAGTAGGTATTTTAGAGAAAAGCAGCAAAACAATTTTATTCTGGTCCATGTGCGGTTGTGTGGTGAAACGAATGATATGCAATTTCAAATGTTATTAGTAAATTATTCCTTTACATACTAAAATTCGTTATGTACGACTTTTTTGTGAGGTGAAAATCATCAAATGACTTCTCTTCCCCAGGGTGAGGTGAGAGGGAGTTTCAGACTCTTACTGACTAAAAATTCCCCGTTCCTTCTCCTCCTTGAGGCTGAGGCCACGGTACTTTATTGCTGAACATCGGACCTGTTCGGCCCCGTTTGTGGTGGTCTATTGGCTCTTTGAGGCGCGCACGGAGCTCCACGCGACCTACGCTCGGGTCTGGCTCTGGTCAAGCTGCGAGCTAGCTTATTGGCCGTTGGCAGTCCGACGCTTACGGTGGCCAGAGATCATCGCGCGATCGCTGACGCTCGGAGTGTCGCCTACTGCAGCGACTGCTCCCTCACGCGCTTCGTCTTCTTTGCGAGCATCACTGCTTTGCAGGATAAGGAGACGACTTCCTAGTTCCTCTAGCTCTGCGCCATGGTCTCGGCTAAGGCCTCTTGCATGTGATATTAAGAATATTATAATAAAGACAGCAATGTTTACGGGTTATTCAAGTCATTTCAGCTGGCGACACTACAATAATTCAACTTGGTGATAAATAAGAGATAACAGGAAATAATTTTTATTTTTCCCGAAAGAGTAAGGACACGTAGATTTACGTTTAAATTTTCGATCTTTTAGACCATTATCTAATAAGTTCTGGGTCTGAGACTTGAATTCTCTGTACCAACTGTATAGACAGTTTTTATAAACGATTCTACGGCTACCTGCACAGGTATGTGCCTAGCAAAGAGTATTGAAAGTAAAGGGGAAATAATTAGTCTGTGTTAAAAAAAAAATATTTTTGAGCAAATAAGTGAGCCACAATCATGCCATAATATTTCAAATATGTCTATGGCGAGAATTCTTTATCAGTAAAATATAATTCACATAATTTTATATTCCTGTTTATGATAGCACACTGTTGAATTGTAAAAAATGTCAATAATGAAAGGCGACAAAACATCATCAATATTTACGCAAGATTATGATCACGAGCAACAAGGGGACCATTTAAGAATTTTGGATATATTAAAACAGGAATTTGAGAAGAAAATCAATACTAACACGTTTTGTATGAAGTCAATAACGGATTTTGATATTATTAAGACCATTGGAGAAGGAACACTCTCGATAGTGTATTTAGTTCGTGATACAAACAGTCATGAATACCATGCAATGAAGGCGCTTGATAAAAGGGTGGTAGTGCAAAAAAACTGTGTAAAACATGTGCATACGGAAAAAATGATCTTACAGAGCATTAAATTTCCATTTATAATAACTTTGGATTATGGCTTCAAAGATAATGTCTATGTTTACTTTTTGTTACCTTACCAACCCGGTGGCGAAATATATACTCTGTTAAAGAGATTTGGATGTATATCGGAGGATTTGCTGAAATTTTATGCAGCTCAACTGATCTTAGCTTTGGAATATCTTCACCACTGTGGTGTGGTACACAGGAACGTTAAACCTGAGAATATTGTGATTGGCGTGAATGGATATATAAAGTTAATTGATTTATGTTTTGCTAAAATCGTTAAGAATAGAACTTGGACAATTTGTGGGACTCCTGAATATTTGGCACCAGAAATTATATTGTCTAAAGGATACTCGTTTCCTGTGGACTGGTGGGCACTCGGAGTGTTTATTTACGAAATGTGTACTGGGTACCCACCCTTTTATAGTGAAAATCCGGTAAAATTGTATGAAAAGATTGTTAAAGGCAAATTTAAAACACCAGAGACGATGTCTAATGAGTGTAAATTTTTGTTAAAACAGCTGTTACAAGTCGACCCCACTGCACGCCTATGTTCAAACTTGACAAAGGTGTATGAAATAAAATCCAATGTATGGTTTTCTGATATTAAATGGCGAGCACTTCTTCATCAGAAAATGGAACCACCTTATAAGCCCGTAGTTAAAAACCCTGGAGACACCAGTAATTTTCGAGATTTATCAGAAAAATTGCTTGCTTCATCTCCAAGTTGCTTGTTCCCGAATGAATTTGAAGATTTTTAGAATCGAATGTCGAACAATGGAAACTTGTTAGGTTTCTAAATAATTACTAAAATTTAATATTTGAAACCCAAATTCCACTTGGAACAGAATTAGATAAAAATATATTATTATTGTTCTTGCATAAATATACAAATTTCTATCAAATCGGCGTATTATTAATTTTAAATTTCTGATCAGGTATTTCGAGCTCTGGAGTATCCAGCTGAAATGGCCAAGCAAGAGTTTCATAGAGAGCGACTTCTGACTGAGAGATGGAATTTAATACGTTTCGTGTCTGAACGGAGCAATAATGGCACGGATAGTGATGGCGCAGAAAAATTGCTCAGCGAACATTTAGCTGTATATGAGAGGGTTAGTAGAAGCTTTTGCAGGAAAATAATTTTTAAAATTTACCTTGACTAAGTAAGACTTTCATAGGGAATGTACACATAAAATAATATTTAGCAGTCAATGTAACATAAAGGCCAAAAATTACTTGTGCGCACTAAAATAGCTTTGAGCTAATAAAGCTTAGTCTTAGTACCTAAAATTAATATAACATTTATTTTTAAAAGGTTTTGGAGGAAGCGTCCTCAAGTGGATTGGCATTGGAAGTAGAGAATAATTTTCCACCGGTTGAAGAGAAATGGAGCATATTGCAAGCCGTGTTCTTTTCTTCGACTGTGCTCACCACTATAGGTGTGTACGAAGATGTAAGCATAATATTTTTAGCATTGAACAAAAATTTATTTGAAAAAATATATAATTTTTTACCAATAACCTTATATACATTTAGGAATATTGCTCTAATATTTCTTTATTATATACTTTAATTCAATTCAATATTGTTTTTAGGATACGGTAACATAGTTCCAGAGACATTTTGGGGGAGAACGTTTTGTATTGCATATGCACTTATTGGAATTCCTCTTACCTTGACTGTCATTGCTGACTTGGGTCGAGTGTTTGCTACACTTGTTTCAATCATCGCCAAGCAACTGCCTGCGATGCCGAGTAAGTTATAAAAGTCATTTCATATTTTGTAAAAGCATTTCTATTGGTATTGTCTTATTTCGTTACTTATCGTTTGGCAATTTCAGAGTGCTGTAGTCGAGTTTCCGAAGCCAATCCTGCAGGGCAAAGATCGTTATATGCCCTGGGAGCTGTAGGCTTCTTGTTCCTATATTTATCAGCGGGCGCAGGCCTATTTAAGATGTGGGAAGATGACTGGACTTTCTATGATGGATTTTATTTTTGCTTCATTACCATGACCACTATCGGATTTGGAGATATTGTCCCTAGTGAGTTAACTGATAAAACTTAATGATTAGCATAAAAATATATCCTAACGAATGTTGTGTAGGTTGAAACGATATGGACATTTTTGTAATACTTTTCTCTTTTTCTCAGAAAGACCAAAGTACATGTTGATATGTACGGTTTACATTTTAATTGGCTTGGCACTGACTTCAACGATTATCGAGCTGGTGAGGCGGCAGTATGCCAGGTCTTGGCAGCAACTTCGGGCGCTTTCCGGCCCGTTGGCAGACACGCTAAGGAGGCTGGGCGACGCCGGCAGAGGGGTGGATGTCTCTGCACTGCATAGTGACCTTCGAAAAGTACTTACAGTGGTAAGTAGCTATTTATGTTCACTTTGACGCGAATGAGGTCACCGTATCCTAAGTTATTCGGATGCTGGTGTACAAGATTGCATTGAAATGCATTCAAAGCATCAAATTCGTGCTGGAAGATCAGAGGTTTGTGTTGACAGATGTTCGTCGATAGCATAAACATTTCGCACTACTTGCGCGACGTCGAGATTGATGCCTTGTTTAAAGAACCCAGAAAGTACTCACACGTGTGATGTGTAAACATAAAAGCAATCGTAGCGAAGATATTCAATCTAATAAATATGTCAGTTTTAGAATATATTTTTAAATTGTTTTAATGATTCAGCCCTTAAGATGTTTTGCAAACCAGGTAATGTACATTTTCAGAGCTTGTGATTCATTGATTGTGTGTCATATTTATTTATGTCAGAGCCATCCTTTGGTTTCTCACTCCTTACTCTAGTTCGTGATGACTACACATATTTTAGAGTATACCTACAATAACAATGTATGCTAGCAATGAAACCGAAGAGTGGTTTGATTGTATGTGTATTAGGTTTTTTAGCACTGAAATATGTATAGAGGATAATTTGGATCACTAAGTATAATATTTTACAGAAAAGCTATACCGGTCCCGATACTATGGTAAAACCTCGGACCTCACCTCCCAAGGTATTTTGCCAGATCTCAAACAAAGTATATAAGTTTCTGGCTTTTGGGATCACTCACAATCAATTTTACATTAAACTCGTTTATTTTGCAGCTTCCTAAATTCGCCGTCGTATATCACCACGTCATTTCTCGGAACACAAAACGAGGCACAATTTGCATATTTCATACGCCAGGATCATTTTTTTAATAAGTTAAATTTTGTAGGCTTTCTAAAGCCATTTTTAAAGCTAATGTTTATTGTATATCAGTGCTGTTTGTATAAGAGAATCAATCGGAACATCGCTAGTAATGTTTTGTATAGCTTGCCTAATACCACATCGAGGCCGCTCCAATGTCGCAAGATACACCCTTTTAGCTTTAGTGCCCTATAAAATTCACGTCTCGTGCAGTAATGCTTGCCTTATTTTCTAATGCTTTTACATTGCGGGAAATGTATAGGTATACACGTATTACTTGTTTTGAAATCGAAGTTTTACTAGGCCATCTCGAATTTAACCATGTAAGTACACTAAGATCAAATATGAGGTGTTCTTAAAATGCCTGGTTCTAGGTCACTCCTCAAAATATTTTAAATTCGTTAATAAAATGTGTCTATACTGGTGCGGTAAAAATTTCAGTATCGAATTTTACAATCCACAAGATGAATGTCTTATCGTATTTTTATAGTTTCCGATCTAGTGGTCATAAAAGTTGGAACTATTATAAAAGTGCGTCAGCGTTGCGAGTTGCGACCTTCATTCAAAAGATCTAACGTTTCGTCGTTGTTAACTGATTTTGTTTCCCAACTTGATATGGGTTTGGTAGTTCCTCTAGAGTTAACATTGATGTTTGTTCAAAAAGAACTCTTATTATTTAATTATAGAGCAGAAATTCCCTTAGTTTGCTGGCAAGAAGTTTGTGCGTAGTTCTATATATTACAGCAGTTTAGTAGTAAAATTTAATTCGCGAGTTACTCGTTGGTTAAATGCGGCTAATAAAATACATAAAGCTTTCATGCTACACATGCGGTTACTTACATTGTAGACACATAAATCTTTGCGGTACGCGAATAGTATTGTAGTCATAAAATTGTTTAAGTGATGCACCGATATACGAATTAAATGTTTAGATAAGTATTTTACAAGATTATTCTTCCTCTTTACGCTCATACCTAACTATGGCTAGTAGGTTATTAGGACATAAGTAAATTGGAAGCTTCCAGCGACTCTGACCACAAAAAGTAAATCAATTATATAAACATTCTAGAAGGTACTACAAATAAGGTTTTAAGAACCATTAAAAAAAAACAGATACACTAAAATTTGTTAGATCAGTTAGTAAGTAAATTATTTTCAAGAGAAGTCTCTTGATATGTAAGGAAGGAACCAAAAACAGAAAGCCATTTGTAAACGGTAACAAATGAAGCTTGCCGTCAAGTTATTTTCTTTTAGTGCCAATTATTAAGCTTGCTCTTTGAATTTTTTGTACGGAAGAGTTGCCAATTCAAATTGTGAACTTTTATTTTAGCCCTACTGCTGCTTCTAATAAGATTGTTACACTAGCTTAAAGAGATCATTTAATATATGTTTAGTCTGAATTTAATAATCTTGTTATAGGTGACTATGCCACGACTGAGCAGCGCTGGCGGGAATGCTCTCTCTGACAAAAGAAGACTGGAATGGGAGGCTGCAGTGGACGCTGTCATTAGAGATATCACAGCCCCCATCCCTACACAGAAGCCTCCAATAGTTCAAATTGTTATTTACGAATCCTCGGTTTAGACTAAATGAAAATTAGAAAATGAAAAGCTGTCTGGATATTATTAGACATCAATGACACAAGCTCAATTGCCGACACATTACTAATGTAATGCTTTCATTATTGCCACTGCTGACGCCATAATTTCCATTTATAATACGAGGCTTGATCACGGCCGCTCTCGTTCCGCGTGATATTTAGACATTACGCGCCAAAGTTCAAGGCTAGGTACCCTTGTTCGTCGAATTAAAGCACCCAATCGCTAAAATACCGCCTCGTTATGATTATTGTTAGGGCAATTTTAATGAGAAAACTCTCAAGCATGTGGATTTGTTTGCGTGCCAACATTCGGAAAAAGAAGTGACTATGTGTTTATACTCATTGGAATTTTTGTTTTGACGTTTTTTGTAAAGACGTTATGAGTGGCTGCTTTATTGTCTAGACAAGTGTGATGAACATATTTGTTTTATAGGTTACTCTCTTTAATGAGCGAATGGATTGTATCATTAAATTTACTGATCCATGTTATACAATTTATTTTGGATTCGCAACGTCTGAACGTGTCTGTCTCTCAGAAATAAATGATGCGTCTCGTTGTGCTGTCGTGTGTCGTGACGGAAGTGTAGCTATCGTTAACGTGATAGATTACACCTACAGACAATAAAAGTCGCATGAACAAATGTTACTCGATGAATAAACGACACTATAGTTTCGTGTAAATTTGAGGTCATGTATGTGTTTTTAGATGTCGTAGGATTATGCATTGACTGGGAAGTGCATTACTTGGGGGTGTTATTCTGAAAAATCATGGAGCTGCAAAACGAAAATATGGTCTAAAGCAGCAATTCGTAACTAGGTTTCGTTTACATGAAATGCTTCTTATTGTGAAATCTATTGCATTAAATAATCTGTATTTGTTTATAAGTATAACAATAGATAATAAGTAAGTATTAATTAATAAGTTAGTTTGTTATATTTATAGAAGAAGAAGAATAATTATTTTCGAGTAGCTTAATTTTCAATGTGTACAATATTTTTAAATTTAGAATTTTATAGTTTATTGTTTTTTATTTTGAGGAAATCTTAATGTAAAGCGGAGAATGATAATTCAGGTAGAATAATCTTAACACTCTTCCTCATTAATTTTGTATTGTTGTACACATACAAGTTTTGTACTGTTTCGATGTTGTAAGGGGAAGTTCTTTTAGAATAATACCTGATATATTGTGAACGTAAAACTTAATGGGAAGGCCGTGAGGCAGCTCTACAGGGTAGGAGTTAAATTTTGCATCAGTATACAAGAAAAAGGTAATAAGTGATAGGAAAGAGATATGTCACGTATGTAGGGGAGTACAATTACTATATTTAATTTAGGCAACGTTTTATATTTAAAAGTATTTGTTAACCAAACACAGTGTGAATGTATCGTGCATTAGCAATGCGTGTGTCTGAAAACCAAATTGATAAGGACCCAATTATTCATTAGTATTATTTCATTGTACCTACTAATATTGCGTTCGTTTTACCAGGTATTTTTGTGAAAATAGATTTAAGTATTTATTTGATAAGTAGTTAATAATATCTTTATGAAATTGTATTAGGTCTATGAATGCCTTTTCAAATGCAGACTAAAAGAGCACCTTAATTTGTTCATGACGAATACATACATTTTTGTTTTGTTTGCGTTGACGGCGGGAACTGATCTTTCATTACCTTAATGATGTTAGTTCATGCCAAGCAAAACGCTAGAAGCCGGTAAATTTAAATGTTCTCTTTGCTCATTGGTTGAATGAAATGATCGTAATGGGTAGTGAGTGTACTGTAAACAGAATGCCGCTTTTCTAAAAACCATAATCCAACCATTTGAAAAGACATGAATTGTTTAAAATTTTACACATGGCAACATTAGTGTTACTATCTCTCTCTACATTGTATCAGATCCTTTAATAGCGTAAGCAATATGGCTGATGTTCTTATTACAAGTTTACGCCTACAATTATCTGTATTCAAATTTAATGACAAAGATTTTTAATGCAATTTCTTACTTTAATACGAACCTATATGATGAACTGAAGCTGAAAATAAGTAAATAAATTGTTTATTAAATTAATTTTGTTTCATTAAATGTTTTTTTTTATTATTTTCTATTCAACTGCAGTGAAAACTGGCTTATGCTTATCTGATTCGGCTGTCGAGGACGTCATTAAACGGACGAAGAAATTGGAAATACACAACCAAGCTTCTATTAAAATTGGAAATAGGTTGGTAAGCATGCAAATCGCAAAGAAAGAGAATCGATAATAGTTTTATCAGTAAGCTTTCTTCAAACGGATACACGTTGTATAGCTTTTGCTAGGAGAAATCTAACATACTAGTAGAAACTGGTAGGAGTGCGAGGAATTGGAAAGCCGTTTCCTCTTTTTGCGAAGCAGGTTCTTCTTTTTGCGAAGCAATCAAGTTCGCGAAGCAGAGCACGTCAGGTAACTATCCTCCTCACGCTTCAGCCACTGCAGGAGAAGACACGTTCGGCGTCGGGGATCTAGCGACGAACTCCTGCCATAGGAAGGTAGGTCTACAGACGGTGAGCAAGGATAGCTCGCCGCCCAGTCAGAACCAAACCCGACCGTACGGAGTGTAGCGTTCCCTCTCGCCACACCCAGCGCGAGAATAAGGAATTAGAAGACTTGCCCTGTCAAAAAAAAAAAATGTATAGTAGAAGTCATACTAAAATTATTTTTGTTCTGTTTCGATAATTTTGTGGAATATTAATTTATTTGTATACGGTTTATTTATGGGCCTTTCTTGCCTAAATATAAAGGTTTAAATAAAATGAGTCAAGCAGGTAGGTAGTACAATATTTGAATCTTCGTAATAGGTATCTTAATGTTTCTGAACTAGTATTAGATTTATGAGATTTTCACTTACAAGACCGAGAATAATCAATAAAAGAACTATTAAATGTTATTCCATTGAAGTCGATCGTTCGTTTTCGTATCGCCCACTTCTCGGACATCCGCACAATAAATCTTATTATACGAAAGCATTAGTTACAAGGCATTAATAAAGTCTAATGCGTACCACATGTATCGAAACTATTCGACCGTTCAGTATATTTTTTATTATTTTTAGCGTGGAAACATTTTGTGTAAAGTAATGAAATTTTTTTGAAGAATTTGAATTGTTCGGTACTAGTTTCGCCTGCGGCTTCGCCCGCCATAGTATGTTGATAAAAAGCAGCTTACGCCTAATCCAAGGTATCACCTATCTACATACGAAATTTCAACCAAATCGGTACATCCGTTTTTGCGTGAAAAAAAACATACGTCCATAGATACATTCTCTCAAACTTTTACATTTATGATATTAGTAGTATTAAGTTTCCATGTTCGAGTGGTCGAAACCAAGTAAATGACTATTTCATCTTTTCGGTTTTACGACTTTGATAATCGTACCTAATGGATTTCTAGGGAGCACTGCTGAAAACAAAATATTAGGTGCTTCACAAATTGAATATGAATTCGAAGTATAACCATTATGCTATCATAGTTGGATGAAATATATTCTTTCTGTTTGCATTACGCTCTAATTTATGTTATAAACATTTCTTTACTCTTTATCGAGTTGCTTCGATATCTCGATATTATTATACATCATGTTTGAAATCAAAGCAACTTGTTAATAATCGTCTTCTTTATAGAGCTCTTTAGAGTTGAGATACTGAAGAACACTTATGTTTTATCGCTATTATAATTCATAATGTTTATGTTTTTTGCAGCGTCAGTTCATAAAATATAACGTTATAGCTGTTAATATATTGAAAATAATATTTTATCATAACCCTATTGTTTACGTGGCTCAAACCTTTTTATGAGACTGACCTCATAGAAGCATACAGCTTCTATGGATACACGTGTCGTAAGATTTAGGTTTAGGACTTCGTGGTGGCCCTGAGGTTATCAGCCCGCTTGTCATGAGTGAGGTTCGAAACTTGGCAATGGTGTGACTTTTTCCGACTTAAATGTACTTTCTATGATTATTTAGACACCATTGACAAACTAGACTTATAATTTTTCTACATATTAAGTATAAGTTTGCAATCGCCAATCCGCCTTGAGCAAGCGTGGTGATTAATGCTCAAACTTTCTCCGTACGAGAAGAGGCATTTGCTCAGCAGTGGGCACTAATAGGCTGACGATGAAGATTTGGGTACAATTTTGGTAAGTTAAGGTACTGCTCATTTATTTCTAATTTTTTTTATTATACCTAGCTGAGAAGAGACAAAAATAAACCTGAATTCACAAATCTTTCATTAAAATTAAAGCATGCTCCCAACTCAATCGTTAGGATAATCTTTATAAAGGTTTTTTTATTTTGTAATGAACTAGCATTTGGCCGCTATCACGCCTGGTGGCAAGCAATGATGCGACCCAACGATGGAAGACAACCAGGTATACCCTTCGAGGATCACAGACTCCGGCAAAGAATTCCGTTCCTTAGCAGTTCTGATAAAACTGGATGCGAAACGCTTCGTGCCTGTGAGTGGAGATCCACCATGAAGCGACGACATTTTGCGGATTGTAAGGTGAACCGTAGCATTCACGACAGCGACCTACTTATTATTATCAGTAGACAAAACATAAACAGAGGTTTATTTTTATTAACTCAAGATATTGGCAATAATGTGTCATGGACAAGTCACCTTTGTTTCACATGTCGTCAAGTGTGTTGGCGGGATAATGAATAATTTTATTACATATACGTTACATTTGGTAAACACTCATCCTGTGTTCTATTTTTGAATATTGTTACTTTTGTGCGCTCATGTCAGTGAATCACTTCCTTGCCCTTTCAAGTCGTTCCAAACTTGAATATTGATTTCGTGTATACATCACTATCGAAACTAGCTCTTACGCACTTCTCACTACTGAGAACAGAGTATAAATCATTGAAGAGATTATTACTACCGGAAGACTCTACGAACTAATGGGAAAATGTAACAGCTTCATAACATGTGTATGTATTTTTATTAATTTATTGCAAATCAATCTCGACTGTTATACTGTATAAAATCGCAGATACTGAGAAAGAGCAAAAATACTGTTTGATTTTGTTTGTTTAATTTTAGAAAGTAAATTGGAATTGCGTTTAAAAAGTTTCGAAAATAAAATGAGTCAGTTTCCTTTTGAACTAAATTAATATTGATGCGTACTTTGTTTTTGACGTCGGACATGACAGCTTTTGTAGAAATTCAAGACTGATTTGCCAGCCAAAAATTGACGAAGCGTTGAGTGTCTTGTTACATAGAGCATTTGGCATGTAAATTATTTACTATTTCGTTACAATAGACTTTGAACTGTATACTTAATACAAATAGAATAATTTTAGCTTGAAAATAAAATTACAGTATCGATGTTGTTTTGGCTCGGGTTTAGTCGCCGCCCAACGACAATGGACGAATCGTCTGAAAGGAATGCTCACTGTGCTCACAATCTTCGTAAAGTCTTCAACTTTGACAAGTTTGACTAAGATAAATGATTTCATTCTATTCATAGAATTTTTATTTACACATAAATATAGTGTAAAAACAAAAATTATTAAACGGTTTTACGGGATATGGCGGCAATCGAGCAAACAGATCACTTGATTACAACACCAGTGGAGTCGCAACGCAAGTGCGTTGCAGATTGCCGATGCGTACATTTTAGGGGTAAGGGATTTGAGAATTGCGAGAATTGAGAATGGGAGTAGGTGGTGATAAGAAGGAAAGAAAGGGGTATAAAACATAGTTTTCATTCATCAATGGTTAGATAAAAGTTACCTTGGGAATAATTATGATGTTGTCGCGTCAGAATGTTTGTATAAGACTGTGTCAGCAACAATTTTATTCCTCAGATATAATTATTCTGTTTATTGAAAAATCAGCCCTAAGACGAAAGAAAGTAATAACAGATTCGTTTTATAGTTCACTAATCCGCATCGCGATATCATACAGTATTGTATGGAATTTGAAACTTTACGTTTTAGCGTTGTTTGAACAACATAAATATTAATAGTTACCTACCTACAAAACTGAAAGAAATTCGCTTAAAGCACTTTTCAATGTTACTACGGTACATCCACAATGAACATAGTAAGTATATGTATATAGGTATACTATTGCAATAATTTTGACAAATGGAACGAGACCATTTCCTCGTTCTGTGGACGTTCAGTTCACTGCAGAGGAGGGGTGTGACACAATTTGTCAAAGCCACAATGCTCGTATTCAGATTAGATGTTACCGTTCCCCGCCGCACCCTTGCGATTTGGTTGGTTTATGACCCCATTCTGCAAATGTGTCGATTTATGTTACTATGTGACATTATGGCCGTATATTGCTGACGTCTATGTTAAGTGAGCTATCGTCCGTGTTTACAATCAAATGTTCAACATGGCAGGTGTAACATCAAAGTGTTTGGACTCAAAACAAGCAATCAACGCCATTGGTATAACAATAGCAATGTGATTAACGACCAGAAGGTTTTTGTAGCATGAATCGTAAAACGGAAATAATTTTAAATTTGTTTAAGTAGTCCATTTGGATCATATCTTCTTTATATATAAAAATTTCGTATGACGTATTTGTCCGCGATGGACACCTAAAATACTAAACCGATTTTTAAATTTGATTTGCATTCCGAGTGCATTTTGATCCAACTTGAAAGATAGGATAGCTTACATCTCAATGAAATGTCACAATATTATTTTATTGCAAATTATTTGTCCTTTTGTAATATGACAAGAACCTTAGCCACAGCAACGCGTGGCTGGGTCTGCTAGTAATGTATATATTCTTATAGATAGATACTTCTTAGTCATTAATCTGGGCAATCTCAATCGTAGCAAAAAAACTCTCTTTTTTATGGGATAGGTCGGCAAACAAGCAGACGGTTTACATGATGGTAAGCAATCGGCGCCACCCATGGACACCTGCAACACCATGCGAGCTACGAGTTAATGCTCAATTATCTGGTCTTTCTAATTGTTTTATACACATAACCATATCCCAGTCAGAATAATAAGTAGATACGGTAGTTAATGTTTTTTATTGCTTTAAACAATGACTTAACCCATAATTACATTAATGGCTCTGTAATTACAAACTTACGCATAAAACATAATGAAACCATTTTGTCTTTAAATTGTTTATTAGCGCCCGCGTGTATACAGGTGGATGCGATTTAAAAATATAAATATCTCGGTGTAAAATTACAAAGAATTTTTCACGTGGTCTCTTTATTCTTGGTAACTTTTATAAATAAACATTATCTCAATATTTTTCAAATGTTTTTAAACTTTGTAGTGTGTAGCTATTACTTTTAAAAGGTATTATTTACAGGAATTAGTGAATAACTATTTGTAAACTTACCTACTATAATATATAGAACTATATATAAATTGAGAACACGTTTATTACATAGTAAGATAGGATAGATATTGATACTCTGATATTCGGTCGTATTTCTCTGTCATACGTTGTTTATCATCTATGAAGAGACACAGCTGTGGTCCGTCCTTCAAATCATATGTCTTATAGGAAAGATCTCGTAAACAGAAAGGTCAAGGTTGAATCTTTTTATATTCCCTGCTTAACTAGGCAACAACTGTTGTCTCTCTTTTTTACAAAAACAAAAACAACTGTTGAAAAGAGAAACAACAACTGTTCTCTCTTTTTATTATTTAATATTAAGAGTTATCTATGAAATTTATATCAATGAATTTATTTCATAACATTTTCACCTGACAAAAATTGCGTTACAAGAAATTTTTAAACACCTTCTATTTGTCAGTTGGTTCAACATGATTACTATTTGTACTTTATTTGAGGTATTTATAAAAGAGATAGTATGTTTTTTCGATCAGATTTTTTTTCTAGACTACTCGACTACTAGAGTTTTCCGAGCTTTGAAGGAAATACCAAATTACCTAGATAGAACTAAATACAGTAAACTTGTTAATATGTTAGAGTTTGAAAAGTGTATTAAAAGAATCAACGTTTTCTTGAGGCTAATTGGTGTAAGCATAGGCAATGATTATAGTGACAAAACTTTTGTGCAAAGACTACGAATACATTGGATATATTTAATCCATTGTCTTTCGTTCAACATTTCGGTTCTGGGTGAAGTGATATGGCTTATCCGAAGTTTAATTTATGGAGCTACGTTGTGGGAAATGACTTATTTCACGCCCTGTCTCACGCTTTGTTTCCTAGGAAACCTCAAAATTTACTCTGTGCTTCGTCACAATGATCGTGCCACGGAGTTGGTGAATGTCTTAGGACATTTACACAGTTCTATTGAAGAGACTGACGAAGGAATGGTGAATGAAGCCAAGAAGTGGTTGCTGTTTTTGGTCTCAATATCAAACTTAACTCTAATGTTATTTATCATGGGCGCAACGGCCTTCGCCTTGGCTCCAATTGTGATTACTATTTCACATTATTACACTACGGGTGAAATCAAATTAGTTTTACCTTTCATAGTATGGTATCCTTTCGATGCGTTTGATATAAAAATTTGGCCCTTCATATATCTTGATCAACTTTGGGGAGGTGAGTTTATATTTTGATAATTTTTAATTTCAAACTGAACGTGTTTATGTACCTAATGAACAATTTTTATCCCCATTATTCAAAGCTTTAATCCCAAAAGGCCGGCCTCTGGTTTTACTGGAGTCCAAGGGTGGCGCCGATTACTTTCCATCACGTGATTCGTCTGCTGGTGTACTGGCCTGCAAAGGCATCTCATTAAGGCAATAGATTTGAAATCTACTTGCCTATACTTCAGAATCATTGAGTTAAAAATACACAGGGTACAAGCCTACCCGCTTAATACTGACTCGATTTTAAATAAACATTAGGATATGTGTGAGGCGCGAGATAATCGAACGCAAACATTGTAATTTCGTGGAATAATGCACGAACTTGGAAATTCAATTTAGAATAATATTTACACTTCTCTCGCGGTGATTGCATTTCGATCGTATGATCAGTGGTTTATATGAGTAGCCATAATGGTGAATTTATAGCGAATCCGCGACCTCATATCTTTCTTACGGCTTTGTTATTGGCACCCGTTCCACATGAAAGTGTTAAAATGATCCGATCATGGACAATTGCTAATCTATAACATTTTATCGAAAACTTATATTAGAAAAGTTTTATGCGCGTCGACAATTTCTGAAAAAAAGGAAATACATATAATTTTCAACTTTAGCGTACATATAGTATACATACATACATTGACTGAGAATTTCATTAAATATTTTCTACAGGAAGGCAGGATTAAAAAAAAATATAGATTTGTGTCTTTAGAGGTCTTTTGTTGAAGTCGCTCCAAGACCAGAACGAAATTGTATTGTATTATTATTATAGTTAAGACTTTTTTTACAGCGTGGGTAGCGACGTTCTCTGTCTACGGCCCCGACTGTTTCCTCTTTACATGTTGTACTTTCATACAAATTCAATTTATCAAACTGCAACATGACATGGAAAAGATCGTCAAAGAAGGCTCCAAGAATCGAGAAGACAGCACAACGAATACATTCAAAGCAGACCTGGTAGAAGTTGTTATTAAACATAGGCAGCTTATGCGGTATGTGTCTGGTCAATTTGAAAATATGCTTTAAGATTATGTACATAAAGCTCTTTTTTTGCTGACTTTAGTAAAGAGACAATTTAAGTAAAATCAATATTCCAATCTTGTTTCAAAAAATACAGATTTACTGTTAGCATGAAAATTTATTTAAGATCTCATTTTTCGAGTCACTATGGAACGTTGCCAAAACGAATCAGAGTTCGTCGCCACTTTTCTTAATTTATTTATTTTGCCCAAAAATTTTTTACTTCTTTACTCCTTTGTTCTTGCTTTGGATTTTATGGCAGAATGCAGAATATTCATTGACCTACTTAAAATTACAGTTTACTACTAGTGTTGCACCCCAACTTCTTTAGCAATCGTATAACATTTGCTAATATATAAGTCACGGAATTTATGTTATTTCAATTTTATCAAAAGACGCTCAGTAATTTCTGTGCGAAAGATCAACAAACGAATTCTACTCTTGTTTATATTATGTACATAATAGCTTTTGCCCGCGACTTTGTTAGCGTGGAATAGTGATTTCCTGCAGATTTTTGGTTTCAAAACTCCTCAAAATGTCCTATGTCCTTTCTCGTGTATATAGAAGTATATATACCTATATGTATATCTAGTATATATAATATAGTTTGGATTTCTTTTCAGTTGCGTGGAATTATTAGAGACGATTACTTCTAAAGCAACTCTTCTGCACGTTATGACCAGCTCTTTAATCATTTGTGCAGCTGGTTTTAATTTGATGGTACCTAAACATTTTTATTATTAAATGTTAACTTTAATTATATAGACACATTATTGTTTGCAATTAATTTGTTCCAGGTTCTAAAAAACCTCACTCAATTGGTACCATTCTCCTCATTCCTAACGTTTGGCTTCAGCCAAATATTTTTCCTTTGTTATTATGGGGATAACATAATGACATCTGTAAGTATGTGCAACTCGTATTATTTGTTCTAGTTTCTGTGTTAACGTATTGTTATTTTTTCAGAGTATGGGTGTAGGCGATGCTATTTACAACAGTCGCTGGTATGAAACAGGAGCGGCCGAGAGAAAATATCTTTTGATTGTTTTACTTCGGTTTGTATAACATTACATTACTAGAAATTTAAGAGTTACGTGATTCTAGGTGTTTTTTTTACATATTCTTGGGTTATTATAGTTACTTAAAAATTTACCACTGTATACATCTTCATAAAAATAGGAGTTTGTTGATATGCATATTAATATCATGATTTTGAAGTTACACACAATTTGAGATATGTTTATTGCAATTTAAACTAATATTAAAATGTTTAATGATAAAAATATTTCATGGAATAATTAACTACATCGGTTTTTCCAACAAGCTACAATAAGTTGAGCAATAATCTTTAATGTGATATCACTATTGATAGTTATCATCAGGCTAAAAGCGGAATAGTAGTAGCCGATGTTGATAATCACTTTTTTCGATTTTGTTATTCTAGTCAAGCCTTCAGAGGCGCTATGATTCTACAGTAAGGACAGGTATATAAGTATTTTAATTGGGATATTTTTGGTGATTTGGTTTTCGGCTATTGATATAAGGCTCCTGATAAGTTCTTAACAGATTGCATTCTTATCTGTTTACCTTAATCAAATATATTAAAGTAATTGTATCGTGATTGAATTCATCGGAGGTGATACTAGATAAAAGCGGAGAAGTTAGAGATCTGTAAAACATTTGTGACTATTTTAATGGAGTTCTTCGTTCATAAACAGCAATGACCGCTTACTATCGGGTGACTTGTAGTCTTGTAGTGTTAACCCCCATATTCCTGTTTATTTTTCAAATTTGATGTTATTTTGTTTTCAGATCTCATAAACCGTGCAGATTAACAGCTTTCGGTTTTGCTGACATTAATTTACGGGCGTATACTCGAGTAAGATAAATTCAAATTAGTTATATAATAATGTCAACATTCAAAAACATAGTTAAAGCTATTTTTTAATTTTTTATTTCATTTTCAGATTTTGAGTACATCGTGGTCGTATTTCGCTCTTCTGAATCAAATGTATAATTAATATGTTGCAACAAATCAAAACATTAACATAGAGCAAATAAAACCGTTTCACTGCACACATCATCAGCCTATAAGTGGCCACTGCTAAGTAAAGGCCTCTTCTCACGTATAAAAATTTGAGTATCCATCACCACGCTTGCTCAAGGCAGATAGGCAATTTCAAACCTATAATTACAAATTATAAATTTAGGTTTTGTTACAACTTTGCCCTTACCGTTTGTCAATGGTATCTTAATATTGTATTTAGAATGTGCATATAGTTAACTTATAAAAAGTCACATTGGTACTTGTCCGGATGGGCAATCCCGCTCCGTCATGCATGGGAAGCCTTAACCTCTGGGCCACCACAGCAGCGTTAAATTATAAATTATAAAATTTCGTCTCACCATATAAACTTGTTATGTTGAAACAATGAAACAATGAAACAATGAATTTATTTTTGCAAATAGGCCTTAAAACGGCACTTTTACACGTCAAATTATATGTGAAAAACTAGATGAAGCCGGCATTTCCTATCTGACTACTCTGAGAAGAAATGCCGAAACAAACTCAGAGGTCAGTCTCTTTTCAAGTCCAGACAATATAAAATAACATAATGTGAGAGAACCGTGCAAGTTCATTCTGTAGTGGTCTTTTGAGGAAAGAACCACACCAGTTTAAGTGGACCCGTTCTGAAGACAGGCACGCAAGTGTCAGTTTGCAACCATATAGCTAGTGCTGTTGAGTTGTCCGACGAACAATACCGATCAAAAGAACATTTGGGTGGGTCGCGCAAGTACTCAAACTGTCAGAACGCAGATGACTGGTGATAAAAAAGCACGACAAGTCTCACACGGTCCTTACACTAACAATAATATAAAATAATAAAAATGTCAACAAATAAATAAAAAAAAATGTCAAATAAAAAATAAAAATGTCATACTATGTGATCATGTCATTGTATAAAAAAAAAAAATAAACGTAATGTCAAATTGTATATAAAAGTGTAACTTATGTTACAAACATGTCAACATGACCTGTGCAGACATTACAGCGGCTCATTCCCAAGCCTGACTATCCTCTAAGTAGTCTTTTATTTTATAAAATGCTTTACAGCAAAGTTTAGCCTTTATTACACTTTTAAATTTATTGAGGCTCAAATTTTGAATATCGCTAGGAATTTTATTGTAAAAGCGTATACATTGACACCTAAACGAACTACTTATTTTCTGAAGCCTGGAGGCAGGCACAACATATTTGTTTTTCCCCCTCGTGTTGATATTATGTATATCACTATATTTCTTAAATAAGCTTTTGTTTTTATGAGCGTGAATTACATTTTCATAAATATATTGAGAGGCAACTGTCATTATTTTAGATTCCTTAAATAATTCTCTGAGCGAATGCCTCGGACTAAGATTATAGATTGATCGAATAGCCCTTTTCTGCAGAACAAAAATAGACTGGATGTCAGCAGCATTCCCCCACAACAAAATACCGTATGACATGATGCTGTGGAAATAACCAAAATAAACTAACCGCGCTGTATCTATATCTGTTAAATTTCTAATTTTTTTAACGGCATATGCTGCAGAACTGAGCTTCTTCGACAAGCCATCTATATGTGGGCCCCACTGGAGCTTAGCGTCCAGGGTTATACCTAAAAAGACAGTTGTATCTACAGGACTCAACTCCTCGCCCTTGACAAGCACACTGGTTTTTATCTGTTTAACATTTGGTGTTGTGAATTTAATACATTTAGTTTTAGTTTCGTTTAGTAATAAGTTATTCACACCAAACCAGTGAACTATTTCTGAGAGAGCACTGTTTACATTGTCAATTAATGATTGTCGTCGTCTGAGTTTGAATAATAGTGAGGTATCATCAGCAAACAGCACTATCTCGTGTTTATCCCTTACAAGGTAAGGCAAGTCATTAATATAGATAAGAAATAAAAACGGGCCGAGAATAGAACCCTGCGGAACACCCATCTTCACAACAGACCCGGCAGAAACCATTCCGTTTACTTCGACTCTCTGAACCCTATTACTCAGGTATGAGGTAAGAAGGTCCAGAGATGCACCTCTAATTCCGTAATGGGAAAGCTTCCTGATCAGTGTATCATGAAGCACGCAATCGAACGCCTTGGATAAATCACAAAATATTCCCAAAGCGTCGCTTGAGTCCTCCCATGCGTCGTAAATATGATTAAGAAGTTCAACACCGGCATCAGTTGTTGAACGACCCCTTGTAAATCCGAACTGCTTCGCATGTAATAATTTATTTCTATTAAAAAATCTTTGCATTTGATCTAAAATGATTTTTTCAAAAATTTTACTGAACGTAGGTAGTACTGAAATAGGTCTAAAGTTAGTGGGGTCAGAAGTACTACCTGATTTAAATAATGGAATTATTTTACTACATTTCATAAGATCAGGAAACACACCACAGTCAATACAGTTATTAAAGATTTGAGCCAATACAGGTGCTACAATAGTTATTACAGAGCTTGTAATGTACACAGAATTACCCCATAGATCTGCAGTCTTTTTGTTATTCAAAGTATTAAAGATTTTAACAATGTCTTTGTTATCTATGTGTTTGAAGGAAAACCCTGAATCGCAAGCTACAACATGTTCTTTGAGTAAAGACTCTGCAACAGTGGGAGATGAATTCAGTGACTTTGTAGTGGATACAGGAATGTCGGAAAAGAAATGTTCAAAAGCAGTTGCAATTTCTACATCCGCTTTTATTAACTTATTATCAATTACTAGACTATGTTGACTAATTCTTTTTTTAGACCTTCCTGCCTCACTGTTGATAATGTTCCAAGTGTCTTTGATAACATTGGTACTGTTCTTTATCTTAGAGCTTAAGAATAGAGATTTTGCAATAGAGCAAACTTTTTTAAATAATTTAGAATAGTTTTTTACATATTCACTGAATTCAACAGTATTAATATATGTCCGCTCATTATAGAGCTCATAGAGGCGATTTCTACTCTTATAGATACCAGTGGTTGCCCAATCACCAAAAGACACATTGCTATTAGCTGGAATAGTTTTATCTGTAAAAGTAGACTTAAACTCTGTTAGGTACATTTTAAAAAACTTATCATATAAAGTGTTAGAATTCTTATAATTCAACAACAAAGGCAATTTGTTGCTGAGTTTAGCTTTGAAAAATTCAATGCGTCTTTTAGTCTTCGGATTAACTGTGATAAATTGTTTTGACACTATATTTATTTCATTTGTTAAAGAAATTAACTGACCACAATGATCGGAATCAAGTACTGAAATTATTTCTTTGTTAACTGGCACAATGTCGGTATAAATATTGTCCAGGCAAGTGGCACTAGTGTTTGTTATCCTAGTTGGCTCCAGAAACAAATTCGCAAGGTTGTATGAAGAAAATAAACTTACAATTTTTGTGCTTAAACTACATTTTTCTAATAAATTTATATTAAAATCACCACATGTAATGATGGATTTCTTTGAATTTGTAAGTTTACTTAATACTTCATCCATTACTGTTTCAAAACAGTCATACAAACCTGAAGGTGGTCTATACACGCTTAATACAATAAACCGCTCCAATTCCACACAGGCTATTTCAACAGTACGCTCAACAGAGTAACTAACTATATCTTTGCGATCTTTGAATTTAAGCTGATTACTTATCAGTATAAGTGAGCCACCATGTATAGCGTTTACTCTGCTGAACGAGCTACCAATCTGGTGCTTACCAAAATTGAACATGAGCTGATGAGGTTTTAGCCAATGTTCAGTTATACACAAAATATCCACATTATTACAATTTAAAAATAACTCAATTTCTAATTCTTTGCTCATAAAGCCTTGAATATTTTGGTGAACCAGATTAATAACCTTATTACTGTTTAATTTGCAAGAGGTTGTCTCTATTGTCTTATTTAATAATTTAAATTATTATGAATGTCAGTATTAGGTGAATTATTATGAATGTCAATATTTTTTGGTTGCTCAATAGGAGTAACCTGTTTAGCCAAGTTATTGGCTGATATATTAAAAAAATATGATAGCGATATTGCTATTTGTCTTAAATAATATTTTGAAAGATAGTACCTATCTTTTGTCTTATATATATTAAGACCAACATAATTGTTGGTGTCTATAAAGTGAATATTAGAATAGTTGCTTAGGTTATACAATGTAGTGTTAATTTTATATCTAATATTGTTTTCTTCCTGTGGCAACGTTTTAATATAAGGTAAAGCAAATATAATGATCTGTTTTAAATTAAGTTTGGCAAGTGAATTGTGGAAATTAATTAAACTTTTTTTATTTAGACTACCTCTGTTACCACACATAATAATGAGGGTAGAATTTTGATGAAAACTATAATTATTAATTTTATCCAAGATATTAACAAAATTACAGCCGGGCATACAGTGATTAAATATTGACTGTCCAGGTAATTCATCTGTCAATATTGAACCCAAGTTCTTTCCAATCTCATCACTGAAAATCACAATATTATGACTACTAGAATTAGAATTACAATTACTAGGAAACAGTAAACCTCCACCATGAGGTAAGGTGGTTTCACATGCCGGCAGAGAAAGAGCAGGCAGTATAGCATCTGGAGCGCACTTCTCACACTGTTTCTCCTGAGAGCTTACCAACTCATTCATTGCCAACATGTATTCCCTCATCTGCCTTTCTGAAGCACTATATTTATTAGACATTATTTCCAACTTGGATGTTAATTGGTCTAGTTCTGACTGCAGGCTCTGGGTGTCAGTTTCATATCTCCTAGCACTTTGAGTTAATTTTGAAGAGTATAAACTAAGTTGTTTCAGAAGCTGGAAACGTTCTCTATTTAATTTTACATTTTTTATAAAGAACTTTTGTCTCTTTACTAGTTTGTTTGTTTTAGTTATAAATTTACTAATTCTTATGTATTTCTTAAGCTTCTTATTACTAGAGCTAACAAATTTCACTGGGTGACATGCATCATTATTTCTAGTCTGATCTGTGGTTAATAGATTTAAATCTACATCATTATATTGTAGTTGAGAAGCATGGGCTGACACCAACTCGCTGAATAAACTATTATTCAAGCCGGCCGTGATATTAAGGTTTAGAGTTTCTAGTTCAGAAATTTGACTGTTGGCCTCATGTAGCTGTTGTTTAAGTAAGGCTTTATCATTTAATGTGGTTTCATACTCATCGCTACATTGCTTGAATTCGTCCACAACGAATTGGAGCCTATCCCGGGCCTCAATGGCTTCTGTGTGTTGAATGTTTAACAGAGCCATTTCACGTTTCAGCTTCTTGTTTTGGTCCAAAATAACCAAGAATTCACTCTCATTGTCATCCCTTTCCCTCAACAATTGATCACACAACTCCTTCGAAGCCTTCAATTCGCTCAAAGCCAGGTTGAGTTTAGACTCCTCTTGGCGAGCATGGGCTTTGCGAGTTAGAATCATTTTAGAAGTTTAAAGGTAAGAGATAGAATTAGAAAATTATAATGGAAGCTGAAGTTTATTAAGTATATTGAGGTAAGGAAGTTACTAGAGAAGTTAAGTAAAAGTTAGCTTAGACAAAGAAGTTGTGCCACCAACTAAAAGGTAATTTTTATTGTTATTTTGATCGCGACTGTTCGTTGCGCTAAAAGATATCAGTATAAACACGAAAATAAATAGGCAAAATACCTAATTTCGTTGAAATAATACTGTATTTTACCTGTTATCGAGATAACAATGCAGCGAATCCTTAATGCCGGTAACCTTATATTTAGTAACTTCACAATTTCACTATTTTTGGCAATTAAACTTGGAAAACCTTATAAATCGCACTTACTTAATCAGTGATGAGGTGGTTTTAGGTAATATTGTTTGTAAAAATAGAATATTTCAATAATTATTTAAATAAAAAACAAGGACAATCATAAATCAGCTGTCAACGCCAGTGTTGCCACAGAAAAAAAAAGTTATAATTATACTTAGTTGTTATAATAATACTTACTAGAGAGAGTGTGTTTAATAACTAATATAATAATTGCAAAAAAAAAACATATAAATTCATACTGCATATACCTAAAAGTAAAAAAATCAACCCTTCAAACATATGATTGAGAGTTTAACACTAAACTCTTATTCTAGTAATTAGTGTCAGTATTCAAATGATATATTGCATTCAGTGCTATATTTTCTCTACAGGTTTCGGTGTAATTATCAACCAAGCCGTTAATTACATTTTAACCACACGTTCGAAGGTTTTTTCTAGCTTTGTATATCGTATACAGGTTGTTTCCGCTTTCACTAATAATATATACAGACAGAGAATAGAGTTATAAATTTTATTAATATTTTTGCTTGTTTGTCCATATTTCTACTGTTTGTACGTAAATATATAAGCACAGTTAAAATTAAAAATGTATGTATATTATTACTGGGAATTACTGTACTGTGTTGTCAGTATGTTTTCGTTCTTTGAGACAAAAGAGGCCTTTGTCAAGTATAGGGACAGATAGAGGTCCTAAACGATAAATATAGTAAAAGCGTAAGGGTATTTAAGAAAGATAAGTCACGATAGGTGAAACGATTTTTTTTTGAAACACCTTGTAGTAGTAGTAAATGGAAGTGCACCAAGCACTGTATTATTAAGTGTAATTTGAGATTTCAAAGAACAAACATGAAAATATATCTTCAGAAAAACTGAGTTGTTGTTCACTTTAAAACTTGACAGCAAAAACACATTAATTGCGAGAATGATAGAACAATTCGAAAAATGTTTAAAAAGAGTAAGCTTTTTTTGGAAGTTGCTTGGTATGAGTCTAGATTATCGTGGCGACAGCAAAACAATGACAGAATTTATACGCAGGCACAAGATTTATGTGGCGCAGTTATTTTCATTGAATTGTGAAAATGTAACCCAAATACTATGGGTATTCGAAGCTGTAATCACAGGAAAAACTTTCTTGGAAATAACTTATTTGATTCCGTGCCTCATTCATTGCATTATAGGTGTTTTCAAAACAGTATCAATGCTTTATTATGCAAAATATAACTATGAGTTCATTAGTACTATAAAAAGATTGTTAATGAATCTCACACCAAGCACTGAGGAAGACAATATTTTTATGAAAAATTTAATTGACAAACATGTACTAATGTTGATGAATATTTCGAAAAGGGTAGTCATTGTTGTTTCGGTTGGTCTAGTAATGTTTGCTTTGGGACCTGTTTTTGTAATTCTGCCGCATTACTTCAAAACTAATGAGGTCAAACTTGAGATGCCCTTCATAGCATATTATCCGTTCAATGAGTTTGACGTACGGATTTATCCCTTCTTGTATGTGCATCAGTTGTGGACAGGTATGTAGTTTTTTATTAATTAATTTATTTTTAATATATTACCTATGTATATTTCAAATTAAATTGCAATTGCCACTGCCGTAAATTAATTTCGATATTCCGACTGGACAATATTATTGTTTGTATTAAGTTCAAGTTAATAAATGGTAACACATAGTCTACAGTAGTAGTTGGCCTTAATTTTTTTCAATAGATTAGGAGGCAAACGACCCTTCAGATCACCTGATGGTAAGTGATCGGCGCCGCCAGCCCATAGACACCTGCGGCACCAGAAGAGTCAATGGCGCATTGCCGCTCTTTTAAGAAGGAGCACGCTCGTTTCTTGGCGGGTGAAGGTCATATCTACTTGTTCGTATAGGTCTCAAAACGTCCCTCCGTGAAAAAGGATGACGTAATAAGAGTTTCTGGTAAACCTTCTCGTTCCTACGAGAGGTATTTGAAATAAAAATAATTTTGTTTTATTTATTCCCAGCGTTATCCGCCACGCTTATGGTGTACGGGCCCGACTGTTTCTTCTTCACTTGTTGTACATTTATTCATATCCAGTTCGCAATATTGAGCTACGATATGGAAAGATTGGTTAACGATGACTCTCGCATTTGTGATAGGAACAGACTTAAAGAATTAGTTGTGCGCCATATTGAATTGATGAGGTAAGTTTGGTATTATAACTTGACAAAGAGTATAAATAGTAAAGTTTAAGTGTGGGAGAGCGATGCTTCGTTATGAAGAGGTCGGCTCGACCGGAGTGATACCACGGCCTCACAGAAAACCGGCGTGAAACAACCACAGCCAATACTACCAGGAAGCCCAATACTTCTCCTCTCCCAATCCCTAAATCCCACAAAGGCAACGTACTCATAACTCCTCCGTTGTTGCGGGTGTCCATGGGTGGCGCTGATTGCTTACTACAGTAATCCGTCAAATCGTTTGCCATTCTATCACATAAATAAACAGAATTATAATTTGACTGAAATTTTCAAGAACTTTTTATAATCATTTTAGGTGCGTAGAATTGGTAGAAAAAGTATTTTCAAAGTCGATTTTATTTAACGCTATGACAAGTTCGGTTATAATATGCGTAACTGGATTCAATGTTTCGGTGAGTATTTATTTGAACTTATGTTTTCTTTTTATAATTAAAAGGTTTCCTTAGAATACCATTCGTATTGGCAATTTGGGATAATCTTATGCTAATTTTAGTCTGAATTTTTATGTACAATTTTGTTAAATAAAAATCTGGATGCATGTTTGAAAATATAAAAAATAATTTTTTTAAATAATCTGTACAAAACATATTTCTATTTCAGGTGGGCGATAATATACTAATGATGGGTTCCTTCCTCGCCTTTCTAATTTTCGGTTTGATGGAAATATTCTTTTATTGTTACTACGGCGATATTATTATGAGATCTGTAAGTTTCATCCATATACCACATTATGCCATGCCTATACCACAAAAGTAAACTTATACTATAAACCGCGCGCGCCTCAAAGAGCCTATAGGCTCCACCACAGACGGGGCCCAATAGGGCTGATGTTCAGCCGGGGTTGCGGGGTAATCGCAATGAGGCACCGCGACCTCGGCCCAGAGCAGGAGAAGGAATGTTTTTAGTCAGTAAGAGTCTGACACTCTCTCTCTCGCCTTACCCTGGGCGGGAAAAGTCATCGGATGATTTATCCTGACAAAAAAAAAATAATACTATGAAGAGGGGTTTTTTCAGCAATATAAATCGTTAATGAGTATTTTTTCTTAAATGCACACAATGATACAATGTCTTATTATTCTTTCTATCGAAGCCAGACCAACCTAGTTTATCGTAATGAACGGTTGTTCTTTATTGGTGGAGATGAGAAATCTCGAGATAAAAAGTGTGTAATTATTTTATCAGTTTATTTTCTTTCCAGAGCATGGGAGTTGGCGATGCTATTTACAATAGCTGTTGGTACATGACAGGAGCGGCAGATAGGAAATTATTCCTCATTGTCCTTACGAGGTAGTTCGTTCTTATATTATTATTATTTTTAAATTTTGCACCTGCAATTTCACATACACATCACACCCAGACCCGGAACAAAAATTTGGAAATCATACAAAGAGTTGTTCCACGCGGGAATTTAACTCGCGACACATGAGCGACAGCCAGCCACCGCGCCAACCGTGCATTCAAATCTACTATCGAGACATCGATAAAGCACACACGTTTTTTTTCTTGGCAAGACAATTAAGTGACTAGGGAAATGTACTTGACTCGTTATTAATAAACATATTAAACTGTTGAATTCAGTATAATAAACAATATTAAGCATCGTTACTTGTACTGTTATTGAAAAAATAACCAAAGTGCTGGATTTTTATTTCTTTTCCAGATCTCAAAAACCTAGCAAATTGACGGCTTGTGGATTTTCCAAAATCAATTTGTACGCATTTACGAGTGTAAGTGAGTTATTAAAAGTATTTACTTATAATTGTTACGTTGAATTAATTTAATAAAAGTTTCTATTTTTCAGATTCTTAGTTCATCGTGGTCATACTTCGCTCTTTTGAAGACAATGTACCATCCAGAATGAAGTCTTTTATAATTAACACTGCTTTGTGCTAGTATATTGTTAATTTATTGCTCTAAACGAAGCACGCTTCAAATGTATTTATAATTCAATAAATGAATATTGTACTATATCACGGCTATAATTTATTTTCATGATAAATAAGTCTCTAAAAACTTATTAACTGGAACTGCGAACGAAATAATTCTTGGTAAACTCTTAATGTTCCGAAGTCTGATGTTTCCAGCACAGTTTTACAGTTAAAGCCCGAAAAGGCCTAAATAAACTTTCCAGAGAAACGTGATGTTATAGCTTAAAGTGATTAACGTTTGGACTATAATTTTCTTCTGCAAAGTTCTTGAAGTAGTTCAGTTCTACTTTTTTGCTTTCCTTTCTCGGCATTCTGACCTTCGACAATCTTTGTAGTGTATGTATGTGTAAGTTTTATTCATTCAACATTTTCCTTATTTTATATAGGGACGGAATTTACAAGGTTCTAAAGGAAAGGTAAATAAAAACATACATACATATGTTGACTCTATAGTAGTATTTAATAAATTATCTTTACAACGACCTTTTAGTAGCTTACACAGTACATTACAAATGTTGTCTTTTCCTTATACTTCATTCCTATATTCCAAGCCTCAGGAGCCCCATATCTCAAGGCTATTTCTTTTTTAATATGATTCACATCGTACAAAGTGTACCTTTCGAAATATATTCTGGGAATTTTGGAACAAGGTATTCTTAATGTTTATGTAGGTCATGAATGCGGTAGTTGATTTCGTTGCGCAAAATAGCGAAGAATCCTATAGTGGACTCGCTCTCTTCGGACAGACAAAATAATAACGAAATAAAACAAGCTAAACGACCAATGTGAATCGCAGTAAAACCTGTGATTTATCGGACGCCATCAACAGATGTCCGAGACATCGTAAACAGTTTAAAAAATACTTTTAGCCTAATGAAAGTGTCGTTTATTCGATTCTTTGTAGAAATCATCAGACAAACATTCGTCTATTAATGAAATTACCTTTTTGACAATATTTTATGGGTTCATGAATAATTTCTTGAAGTGCTATGTAGCGTGTTTTCAGCGGTTTGCCAGTCGTAAATGTAATTTGCCGCAACATTGGGCTGAGGCGTCAAAGACTAGAACGAATTCATAAGAATGATTGACACGAAACTTGAATGTATTTTTTTATATTTTCTGTAATTTTTCATGCATCTGCTTTTTGTTTATAATTAAAAAAAAAATATTTTGCTTATTTTTTTTGTATTATCCTTCTTCCATAATCCCTAGTAGAGTAACCGAAAATCGACTAACATATTCCACGAATTCAAACGTCGAACGTAAGATGAATATGGATTGTCTCGAGACGTAGGTACTTACTTTCAAGATCTGGGTCACGCAACGTTACGATTTAGTCTGAAACAAATTGTAGTTTTGCTGAGGTAATTTATTTATTGATTTTATTTGTTTAGGAAACGAACTGTCCCTTACATACCTTACATACGTAAATTAACACAATACATACAGACTTTAAGTTCCATAAACGTTAATATTATAATGGAAAGCAGGCGCCAATTTGAAATGATATGATAAAAATAGATTAAACTCTTTTACATATTTTGTTTTAATTACGTTACCAACTTAAATCGTTCCATATTTTTGTCAAAAAAAAAAAACACAGTCAAAGGATAATCTAATGCCGCGTTAAATCTCAATTTCGGTCTGTATCCAACCGGCTGTGATGTCCGTCGATTAACTCGTGTGGTGATAGATAGGTGCGTCCGTGTAATTAACAAGGGCGCGACTAAATTGCCGTAATTGTCACAGTGTACACACGTCGCGGGATTTGTAATTAAACCACATGTCCGGATACTTTTGTTCAACGGAATGTTGTTTTTAGTTTCTTGTGTCACATGTTTTGTTTTTAGTTCGTCGTGTTAAAGTAACACAATATTATAAAATTTATCCATTCTCACTTCATATTTGAAGGCCTATTAATATAATACTTTTACCTTTAACGGGATATTAAAATTTAAAACCTCTGCCTATCCTGGAAATACTATGCTATACCCTACTGGCAAACATTGGTTGGTTATTATACAAATCTTTGCATTGGAAAAAGATTACAGCATCTTTATTAAAAACTAGCAACTCTCGCGCGGTTTCCCGTTTTTTAGCTCCATTTGATTGTAGCGTGATGTTTTATAGCCTGTAGCACTCAGGAACCTTGTAGCTGTCTATCAGTGAAAGATTTTGGCCATCCGACCAGCAGTTCTAAAGGTTGCCCCCTACATACAAAACTTAAAAATTTTACCTCTTTATAATATTAGTATAGATCACCTCGATAAGAGTCCCGTTCAGAGTAAGCTTATTCACGTGATTAAGTTATTTTCAATGAATTTAGAATGTGTCATAGTTTCTTATAAAAACAAAAATTACAGCATCTACTACACTACAGTATTTAGCGGATAATTTCTTCATTCTGTTTACACCGGAAGAAACATTAGCAGCAGATTTTATTGAGACACATTCCACATTGATAAAAACATAGCATTTTATATAAATAAATATTCGCGTAAACATCACGTTTGCGAACTTGTCGTAAAATGATAAAATAACGTTGGCGAAGTTAATTAAAAATTTATTGCCGACCCGTGTTTGTTGTCGTAGCTGGTAACAACATGAATTTTGTGGCTGAAAAAAAAAACACGATTTAATACAGCGCTGAAACAGACGCAAATGTCCCTTTGGGTTAACGCTTAACCAAATGTGACCTTAGATAATCCTCAAAAAATAATTAAATCGCTCTGTTATTCACATGACCCTACATGGACTTGCCTACATTGTTGATAACAGAAGCAGTAGAGAATTTTCCTTCATAAAGAATACCGACAGCATTAAAAGATAATCTGCAATGTGTGTCTGGGCGTTAACACGATAAATATATGAAAGTATTTTCTCTCTCGCAACAAAACAAAACTCATGAAACTCAACTTAGTAGAACACTGTTCTTGGACCTTGTAGTTCAATTTGCCTTAAGTATAACAATTTAACAACATCTAAAACGTTCTACGATATGCTTTGTTTACGATTGCCAATAAGAGAAATACCGTCGAGATGAGTGACGTCATAAACAAAGCTGAGATATCGAATAGGAAATAAAATAAACTGACGTCACACATCGAATTCTCAGCTCTGAATCTCGACGAATCCGTGCTCAGTATCATCTGGTTGCGTAAACTCGACTAGAGCTCGGCTTTAAGATGCTCTTGTAAACATTTGGTTAAACAAATAATGGCTGTTATATCATCAGGCTATCGATTGCAACGTCCGTTCATTCCGTTGATACTAAAAAATTATGTTTTAGTAGCGATTTTTCAGTGTTCAAGCTAAATTATGTTTCCATTACTCTGCAAAAATATCCTAGTTTCTACTATGAAAATGCATTCTGTGAATTTAATATGTAATTGAACCACGTACTGCCCATATTTTTCCTCTACATGTTCCGGTCTTGCCGGGTTAGTAAATAAAGTATTATGCTGGTACTATAAGCTTCATGATTAAATGGGGCAGACCGATTCGACCCGATGACCTCTCGACCTGTTGTCAATAATACCCCAGTTGACTTTCTTGAACTAGGGAATTGTTATGACCGCTGCATTATTATTATGTAAGCGTTTGCTCGAAGTATCTCAGCGGGAATGTTTTCACGAAGTATTTATTTGGTTAGGAAGAGGGTTGATATTGATATAAATAAGTTAAGATAAGTTCTGACTTACTGAGATTTTTCCTATACTTATAAGATTTAGTACAGAGTTGCAGATGTAATATAATACTGTAGGAACAAAAGTTTAATTTATGAATGAAGTGAGGCCCCATTGCAATACTTAACCTAAATTACGATGAGCTGCCGACGGAATGAAAATTACTTTTTAATTCCAAACTGAGCGCCAAAGCGACTTAACAGACTTCATTTAGCTTTTTATTCGTCCTTTGTCTGCAAATATGATTTTCTTGAAGAAGGATCTTACTAATCCTCGTTTAAAAATTGTATGCAAATCTTTGTTGTTAATTAATTTAAAGAAAAGAAGTAGCTTTGGATGGACATGGGTAGAAATTAATGTTATGTATTACAGGAATTGAGGGTAAGAAACTAAAAGTTTTTAATTTAATTATGAAGTTGTAAACGCTGACAACTATTACACTGAGATTGTAGAACTTTGTTCTTGCCACGGTTAAAGTTTCACTATTATGTGGCCACAGGGGGTGGCAAGCCACAAGTTTTCCCTTAATATCGTGCATGGTGGAAAAGATACGTTTTCTCCGTAGTTTAATAAGTACGTGATCAGCAAAGTTTCTTAGTTTGGCGTTACTTAATTTTAATTAACAGATATGCTACTACTATCGTTTGCAGTTAGAGGTTGTTCTTTAGTTTAAGATTCTATTAAATATGTGTTTTTCTTTTCTGTCTCTGTGCAAAATTAAACTTAAATGCAAATAGGTGTTTCGTGGCTGATGGTAAATAATCGACAAGTCCACAATACCAGAGGGTTTACGAGTGTATTGTCGGCTTTCTGGGGATTAGGATTTTTGAGATTGAGTTATTGGGAAGGAATGAGGAAAGACGAAGTATTAAGCCTTCGATAACCTCACTCACACGGCGAAACACAACACTATAGTTGTTTTACGCTGGTTTTTAATGCCGTGATATGACTCTGATCAGGGTACATCATCGATCAGCATATTGTGCTGAAGAACAGCCCTCTTATGCTTAACGTAATAGATTAGTAAGCTATAATATTAGTCATTATTTTTAAGCTAATATTACTTCACAATTTGTTATATTAGTTAAAATAAAAGATCACAACAGTGTTTTACCACTATACATATATATGTTTATGTCACTGACGCTACGCTCATACTTAAGTTATCATAAAAAAATGTAACCAACTAGACCGTTAGCTATTTATTTCTAGAAACTATTCGTTTGTCCTTCGTCAGATGTGGAGCG